TAAAGCTCAAATCTTGACTTAAATACTTCACTGACACGGGGATCCCTCACTAGCTAGGTTGCCAACTCATACGTATGAGAAGCCATCCAGGCTTTCCTTAAACTAAAACTTAGTTAGGGGAGTCGTAATGATTCATCCCCCTAACATCTTAAACTTATCGTGGTGGCTCTTCACCACGATTCTCAATAGCATAACTGCTGCTCATCTTAAAACTCTCAAAAGCATAATTGCCGCTCTATCTCAAAATGTATCAAAAGGCAACGGACTAGCGCTAGTGACTAAAACACTTAAAACGACTTCACCTTCTTGAAGGTGAGTTACTTCTTAAAAAGAACTTGTTCTTAAACTTTAACCATAACTTATAAACGTGAAGCTATAAAGTAAATAATAACTCGTGCACGTTCACTTCAAACATAGCTCAAACAAAATCACATATCATCAACCATAAGCACAATCAAACAACGACAACCAATTCATCAAAATACTTAAAGCTCGTAATACTTGAAAGAACACGTAAGGCGTAGAATTTACCCCCTTTACACTCACCTTACTTCCATCGGAACTGGCTTGATTTTGCTCCAAAGTTTCCATACTCGCTTCCACATATTACACTCGTACTTGGTTGAATGAAATTGGAGCAGCGGCAAATGAAATTAAATGGACCGGCTTTACTTTGGTTGTTATTGGCCGCCCTGAATCCGCCGACCTTCATGCTTGCTTCCCTCATAGTATTTTGATGCTTGCTTCCCTCATAGTATGGTTGAATACGTGCCACAGGCCAATAATCATGTGTTGCTTAAGCAAGCATCTCTCATAGTAGGGAGAATGATTATGCGCTTTTGCCCTAATTTGCCGACACCACATGCTTGGTTAGGTGCCGCCTCATGCCTCCTCAATAATGGCCTCCTCCTGCCTGCTTAAGCAAGCATCTCTCATAGTAGGGAGAATGATTATGCGCTTTTGCCCTAATTTGCCGACACCACATGCTTGGTTAGGTGCCGCCTCATGCCTCCTCAATAATGGCCTCCTCCTGCCTGCTTAATAATGGTCGCCGCCTATCAACCTCCTGCTGAATCGCCAACCTGCTGAGTCGACTCCTAACGGATGAGAAATCGCTTCCTGCTTGCTTAAGCTAGCACCTCTCGTAGTAAAGGGAGTAGACCTTTTTTTTAATTCACATAGACCCAATCCATTTAGTAAAGTGAGGAAGTCGGCGGGTCGGAAATGGCCGGGATAGCTCAGTTGGTAGAGCAGAGGACTGAAAATCCTCGTGTCACCAGTTCAAATCTGGTTCCTAGCATGGCCGACTGCTGAGCCCACTCTGGCTCAGCCGCACCACCCCGGGTGCGAGCCACCCGAGAAGCAAGCTATTACAGCGAGCGCACTATCTCCTGAGTCGTACAAAACCGATTGATTGTTTATACGGGTTAATGCGGGCTATCTATTAATGAATATGTATGTTATTGAATATTTATATCATTCAATACATATTCAATATAGTAATTAGTAGAGGGAGTAGGTAACGCCGCTTTGATTTTAATTTCACGGAGAGCATCGCCTCCTGCTTCTTAAGCTAGCACCTCTCGCAGTAGAGAGAATGATCATGTCCTGTCTCCCAAACTTTGCTTTTATTTCCCGAGAGCAAGTTGTTTTCGGTGGAGAAGGGATGCGAGGGTTTTATGGTGAGGCCGAGTGGGTTAGGTAAGGGTTCTAGGGTTTTAATTAGTCAAAGGGTTATTTGTGGAAATTCACACTTGTGGGTGAGTTTAATCCGAAACTCAATTAATGTCCGTAACTTTCTCATTTTATGTCGAAATTCGACACCGCTTGAACCGATAGTTCACATTTTCAGTCCTCCTCGACATTACGGTGAAACTTAACCCAAGGGTATAATAGTCATTTTGACTTTTGGGAAGAGCGGGGTGTAACAGTTAACTCTTCGCGCCACTGCCGCCGTTTCTAGGACAGACCGACGCCTCACCTGAACAGGTACCTACGTAGTGTAGTCTCGATCGCACTCTACCCAAGAGAAGTTAACCACAAGTGCCAAGAAGATTGGAAATCTCCTTCATTATGGTTTTTGCCTCTTCCTCTTGTGTTTCTTCCATTTCTAGCATGGAGTAGATTTCTTTTTCACTTGGGTGTTGTGAAACGCTAGCTAGCTACCATGTAGTTTTCTGTTATGTGAATTAAGTGATTGTTTACGGGTGTTGTTTAATTCAATGATTGAGGTATTATTCATGTTGATTGTGCATGTTTGTGCTTAGCAATCTAAGGATTGTGCATGTTGGTGCTTAGCAATCTAAGGATTGTGCATGCTTGTGCTTAGCAATCTAAGGGTTGTGCATGTTTGTGCTTAGCAATCTAATTAGCCACTTAACCTAGATTAGAGAAAAAAAACCCTTCCAAGGGAGACTCAATTGAGTTGGTATTCCTAGGGCTTTTTAAGTCTCTTGACTAGGTTAATTTACGGCAAAACTTAATGTTGGATTATGCAATTTGGTTAAGCGCTACTGAGTCGTCCAACCCTTTGGGTTGAGTGAGGGAGTAAGTCAACCATTGATTGCCTAAGCCGAGAGTGCCGAGTGACATCCTATAATGTATTCCTCGATTTAGCAATCGTGAGTGTGGTCTACGACCATATCTGCATCCCCTAGCGGTTCGTGATCACCTTGCCCATAGAAATCGTTTCAATTCACACACCATGGTAGTAGTTAGGGGGAAGCGACACCCGAGTGATCCTTCTCACAAAAGAGCTTTCAAAACCATTCACTTTTGTCTTGCTTTATTTTAATTAGCAAACTTTTCAACCAAAACCTTGTTGCTAGATAATGATTCGAATGACTGAAGTAGGGGTAAACGGACCGACCTGGGTCGATATTCAAACATACTTATCTTGTACTGCACCCGACTAAGGTTTATACTTGAACCTTAGGCGGAAATTTATTGTGGTATTCGGGACGAGTCAGACGCCTTGATGTTCACGGGCAACAGCTTCTCTTCACGGTCTAAGCATACCGTGAACTGCCTTCTTTTCACCTCTTCCCCCGTTTTTTGCTTCTTTTCGTCCAACTTTCGACTCCGGAGCTGGTTTCACCTGTTGGATCCTGAAACATGCTAAAACACAAGAAACCTCGCGTAAAACCTCCCTTTTAGGAGCATAATTGCCAGAAACGCCTAAGGAAAACAGGGGTAAAATATGTACAATTAGGCCCGAATCAGGCACACTTATGCTCGCTTGAAGAACTCCAATAGGAGAGCGCTCAATGCCTTGAAGATTTCCAACGAGCAAGTGCTCAACGCCTTAATAAAATCCACCAACTTGGGGGGGGGGAATGCATAAAGCTGGCACTGCATTAGCTAAACGCGTCACTAGCTGGGGGGGGACTAGGGGGTACATAGGGCTCTATCCAAGATAATCGGCGAAGTTTTTTTTCAAAAACAATAAACTAGAGACGAGTTAAAACTCACCACCAGGTTGGGGGGCAATTGCTGGAGGTGTTACTAAATACTCGGCGCACAGACTAAGTAGTAGGAACCCAATCGATGACACGCGACGCTCGATAACGCTATAGGTGATTAAAGGCTTGAATCCCTCCAAGGAAAAGAGACTTCTTCTCTCCCTCACTTTCCACTTGGGTTACTCTCTCCCATGAGATCGAACGAAAGAATCGTGAGTCAAACCCACAACAACGAATGATTAATGTTCATATCTCGAGCTAGATAGTGCAAACACGATGCATTGTAACTATCTCAACCAAACAATATGATGATTAAATCTGATAATTTGTCATTTTTCTGATAATATTTGTCATTTTGCTTGTAATGTAGTATTTTATGTGAATATGGATAGAGATTATAGGTAGATTATCTTAAGATAAATTATATAAATGTACAATTCAATTGTTCTTAGCGGTTTCTCAACTCTTCGAATGATTTATTAAAACCGACGTATAAATTAATTGTACTTCAGTTGGACGATAGCACTTATTAAATTGGGTCGACAGCGTGACTAATGACTCTTATTTGGGGGAGCGGATATGGTGGCAACACCATATTTGTTGTTATTGTAACAACACTAGTCTCCAACCAATAGGAAGCTAGGATTGTGATGACTTTTTATTAGATTAGTTGACCTCGTGTAAAATCAAAACAGGGGTATAATTGTCATTATGAAAAATATAATTAAATGAAAATAAAAAAATAAAAAATAAAAAATATTTTTTTTATTTTCTGTCGCCGGAATATGCTTACCGGCTTTGAAATCTAGTCATCGGGATCGGAATATGCCTATCGGCGTCGTAATCTGCTCACGGACGGTCATCGGAGTTCGGTCAACGGTCAACGATCACCGAATGTTATGGTTAGCATTGTGAGATTTATGGTTTGGTTTCTCATATTTTTGTATGCCTTTTGTGGTTTGCTTTATCGTGTTTGTGGTTTGCATTGAGAAGTTTCTGGTTTGCTTTCAAAAAATTTGTGGTTTGCTTTTTGAGGTTTCTGGTTTATTTTAATAGATTTGTGGTATGCATTATGACGTTTATGGTTTGTTTTTTTGTGGTTTGCTTTTTCGTGTTTGTGGTTATCATTATGGTGTTCTGGTGTGCTTTTCAAAATATTTATGGGTTGCTTTGTGAGATTTTTGGTTTGTTTTAGGAGACTTGTGGTTTGCTTTAGAAGGTTTCTGGTATGCTTTTTTGTGGTTTGTTTTATCGCATTTGTGATTTGCATTATGAGGTTTTTTGTGTGTTTTAGAAATAGTTGTGGTTTGCTTTGTGGTGTTTCTAGTATGTTTTACACAATTTGTGGTATATATTATGAGATTTCTGGTGTGCTTTAAAAATAATTATAGTATGTTATGTGATATTTTGTTATGTTTTGAAAGATTAGTGGTTTGTATCATGAGACAATCTATTGTTCCCATCTATCTTGAACTCACACTTTGAAGCTATGATCTTTATCCTTTATTCCATCAACCTCAACATATGACGAACCGACAACCCAACTTTGGCTAACATACAAATCCTGCTCTTGTCATCTAGCAATATGTCGTAGTAAGATGGAAGAAGAGAGAGCTGGCTAGATTTCAACAGTCAGCAATGCGCTGAAGAAAATTAGCCGGCCGTGATGACAGCCCACGGTGGGTCGACATAAAGTGTCTCGGCTCGGCCTTCGGATAGCTACTCCTGGAAGAAGTAATTACGTGGCCGATAACACCATCGTCGTCGCACGCAACTCTGTGCTTGTTGAAATCGTTGACGAGAAACAAGATCTACCTCTGGAGGAGACAATTGCAGGACAGGGCACCAGCGGCGTACCATGCTCCATAACCAGGTTTCTGATGTCAGGCGCCCCGATGGCGACGAAGACAGAGGAGTCCATCGTGGTGGTGTTGTACCAGGACTACGACCACGGCGGCGGCGGCAACCTCGGCGGGGGACTGGCTTTCTGCAAGCACAGAGCGTCGCCTGCGAATGGCGACCGAGAAGAAGGAAACCAGTGCATGCTCTGGTCTGAGTCGTCTCCAACCAGGATTCACGTGAAAGCGGTAGAAAAAAGGAAGAGGGAGGTGGAATTATCTTATATTTATTTTTGTGTATCTTTACTCTTTTACCCTTAATGAATTATGATGTTACTCTAACAACACTAATGGTGTTGTTATACTATCCTGAACCCTTATTTGGTAGGCTGGTGACGGGTTGGCGTAATCTGCATTTGAAATAGACGGCTTCCCGCTCTCCCCTTTTTCCCCCTCTCTCCCTCGGCTCCAAAATTTTGATATCCCAAACAAAATCCCAATCTCCCGACGCATCGACTGCCTTTTTCAAATTTCAATCCCCTTGGCCGCCATGGACGATGCAGAGAACCGTCTCCTATCGCCTTACTTATCATCTTCCCATCAGAACAAGAGGAAGCAGAAGAGCAAGAGGAAGGCTTCTCCGCCGGATTCTCCGCGGCTCCTCAAGAAGCGACCCCCTCTGACCGAACTCACCAACATCGCTCCTAATTCGATTCACGAGCGTAAACACTCATCCGCCTCTCCTCCGCCCTCCACCGCGCCAGTGGCGATTGTTGATGATCAGCACTTGGATTGCGATGACGGGATGATGGGGAGCTACCTGAAGGGCATAAATCAGAGCGATCCGGAATCAGAGATCTCCGCCAGTAGCGTCGCCTCATCTCAGGGATTCGAGTTGAGGAAATGGTCTTCCATGTACAAGCATCTCCGGTCACTGGAGGTATGATTAAACGAGGATGATTCTCTTTTTCAATTTTGAAATCTGATCAGATGGATCGAGTCCCCATTCATTTTCTCTTATTATTCATCAATTAAGTACTTGCTTGCTTAACAATAACTGCAAATCAGGTAAAACACAACAGTAGACCGATTGCAAATTATGTGGAAACAGTTCAGAAGGATATTCAAGCGAACATGCGACAAGTGCTGGTGGACTGGCTGGTGGAAGTTGCTGAAGAGTATAAGCTCGTCTCTGACACGATCTATCTCTCAGTATCGTATCTGGACAGATACTTATCTTCGGAATGTGTGGGCAGAAACAAACTCCAACTTCTGGGCGTTTCTTGCATGCTTATTGCCTCGTAATCCTTTTCGATTATCATTGTCCGGCTAAGTTTGATTTGATCGATGCAGCGAATAACCCCAATTCTGAAGTGCCTCTTTTCCGATTCAGGAAATATGAAGACCTAAATCCTCCCCGTGTTGAGGATTTTTGCTACATAACTGATAATACTTACACCAAAAAGGAGGTCAGTTCGGTTTTCCCTAAGCACGCCACGCACACAGCAATGTTGGTTTTACTTCATTCATGTACGTGGTTCCGCTTAGTTACCTAACCTTGATGCGGGGCTGGGAGTGCAGGTACTGGATATGGAGACAGATGTACTCAAATGCTTGAAGTTTGATACGAGGTCTCCCACAGCCAAAACCTTCCTCAGGTAGTAGGTTGTTGCGTCTTCTGTCCCTAAAAATCTGGGGCCTGACAATCTCTGTTGATTGTAAATTTGTAATCAGTCTGTGTAACGTTTACATTTTGCAGAATTCTGACAAGAGCTGCTCAGGATAAGGATAGTTCTAATGTAAGCCATCCTTTACTCTGCAATCCATTGCCCTATCTTTCATTTAACCTGGAAAGAAAATTCCATAAATCTTCACCAAGCCGGCCTGGCTATCGTTGTGTCTACACACTCCTCAGGATGGTGATATTCGGCTCGATTACTTGAGTAGTTACCTTTGTGAGCTAAGCTTGTTGGAATACGCGTGTGTGCGATTCTTGCCATCAGTGGTCGCTGCTTCGGCTGTTTTCTTGTCAAGATTCATTATCCATCCAGAACAGCATCCTTGGGTGAGAACTAGCAAGTCACAGATGAGCTTCAGAATCCCAACACAGCAGTTTAAGTTTGTTTCTAACTGCTTGTACGTGTCCATTTTCTTTTCTACAGAGTTCATCATTGCAGCTTAATTCTGGTTATGATCCAGCTGATCTAAAGGACTGTGTTTTTGCCATTCATGGTTTTGCTGTAAACATAAAAGGAAGCTACTTACGGGGTGTTAGAGACAAGTTTACGCAGCACAAGGTTAGGCCCTTTTTTGTTCCCTCTTTTGCAGTTTCTCCTGTTTGGGATTACCATATTTTCCAAAGGGTGAATGACGAGATTTACTGTCTTGCTTTATGACGGCGCAGTTTAAGCACGTAGCAGCAACATTAGTCCCTCCCCCAGAAATCCCGTTGGAGCTATTCTAAAGGCTGATGATGAGTATTGTCTATCAAACCTCCGCATTCTCCATACTCCATACCTTCCCCGAAGCTATGCATTTTCACATCCTCAGGAGTTTTGAAGTTGGCCTTCTCTCTACATAGCTTTTAAGCCATAGCCACTGATATTATTAGCTGCTGCTGTGCCAAGTTCCTCTTTGGCTTTCAAGTTTCTGATTACCATAGACTTACTTTCTAGTTGTTTTAATTTTTATATTTTGAGTCGGATCAAGCTGGGAAACAGAAAATTTTGTTTGGACGGTGCTTTAGGTCCCAAAATGTAGGATATAGTTATGATAGGACTCCTATCATAGGATTAGTAGAAAGACCTGTTCTACTCGATAGATAAGAATTGGTATTCTTTTATCTTGTATATGATGAATTGGGTTGTGGAGATTTATCTGTTCTAGATCCAACATAAGCTCTCGCAACACATGCTAGTACGGTTATTTTGTTGCTCTCTCCTCTCAAATAGGGGACTGAAACTTGGCAGTGAAGATATTTTGGGTGTTTCTGATCCCCGCCTGCCTCACAAAAAAGTTGGACTCATTACAACGGTTCTTCTGCTCAGTAACCATGAAAAAGAGATAAATTCCATGGAGAACAATAGAAGTTCTCACTGACTCTAAAGTTAAAGGAGGACTTCATTTTCGAAAATTTCTGATGTTTAATTTATCCATTCTTGCCAAACGGGTGGAGACTCTCATTGATCCTAATGTGCTGTGGGCAAGAGTTCTCCGTGGACTCTATTTTCCGTATGGATGTTTGACTCACTCCAACTACCATAATAAAATTTCGATTATAGTCCAAGTATAAATTTTAGTAGTGTGTAGTATAAGGCAAGTGTTTTAAAATTTCAACCCGGGTCTGTTCATTTACTCCTACTTCAACTGTTTAGTGAAAATTAAGGACTACAATTTATCTAACAATCGATTTTTAGTTTTCCTGATGGAGACTCACCTATATGACGGTGAGTGGGAAGAAAAACAGAGAGAATTTAGATATGAAGGAGGAAAGGGGGTGGCGGCAAGGGCCAGAGAGAAATAGATCAGGTGGCCTTCTGATGACGTGGAAACATGGAGTGGAACTGAAACTAAAAAGAAGCTCCAATAATTATATGGATTTCGAGGTATGCATTGAGAATCAGTAAGAAACCTAGAGATTAACTAGGGTATAAGGATGGCCACAAGGAAAGAATAAACATAAAACCTGTGAGCTGCTGAGATGGTTGCATAATCAAGTGGAAAAACCATAGGTGGTGATGGAGGATTTCAACTTGATTACAGACTACATTGAGAAGAGCGGCAGTTGTAGTCCTAATGTAAGGGAGATGGAGGATTTCAGAAAAACCCTAGAGGATTATGAGCTGGAAGATCTGGGGTTTTATGGGAGTTGCTTCACATGGGACAATAATAGAGAGGAGGAAGCCTATACTGAGGAAAGGCTGCATAGGGCAGTTGGCAATAAGGGGTGGATGGATCAATACACACTAGCAAGGGTGTACCATCTCCCAAGATGTGGATCAGACCATATTCCAATCACGCTTCAGTTGAATCCGGAAGAGGAGTCAATTAGCTGGGAATGGTCTTTTCGTTATGAACAAGACGCATGAAGATTTTGAAAGGGTGGTGGAGAAAGGGCGGAGAGCAGGATCTTCGGAAGGTCTCATGGACAAGGTGAAGAACCGTGAAAAAGAGTTATTGAAATGGAGTAAGGAAGCTTTTGGGTCCATAAAAAAAGGAAGAAAGAAAACTAAACATGCTTTAGCCAGGTTGGAGAAACAACCACAGACTAAATCTGTGCAGACACATAAAAAGTGCTACAACGAGAAATAGATGAAATTTTACTACAGGAGGAGAGTAAGTGTCGACATATATCGAGAACTGAGTGGTTGAAGGAGGGAGACCAAAACACAGGATATTTCCATCGTAAAGCGTCAGAAAGGAGAAAGAGAAACATGATAAAAACAACTTAAAGATGTTACGGGGAAGCTATTTGTGGGACAGGAGGAGGTAACAAATTTCTTAGTCTCTCATTGTAAAGAACTATTCACACCTGAGGAAGATGTGCAAACCAACACTATTCTTTCAGTGGTTCAAGCAAAGGTTACATATGACATGAATACCCAATTTCTGCAATCGTTTACAGCGGAAGAAATCTGGAATGCACTCAAACACATGGGCTCCTCGAAAGCTCCAGGTGCATATGGGATGTCTGTTCTGTTTCGTAAGAAAAACTGGGAGATAGTAGGGCCTGATGTGACAAGGGAACTGGCAGGGTATTAGAGACTGTATCATTCCTTATAGAGTTGAACCACTGATGACTCGATATTTGCACATGTTTTCCCCTATGTTTCTTGATCGTTTAAGCTTGCATTATTGCTTCTTTGGCCTATTTTATGCTAGGTTGTGTTCCTTTGTCACATTTCAGGTCCTAGCATGTAAATTGAAGCATAGGCGCAAGTTTGAAGTCAATCGGAGATCATTCGGCAATTCGGGAGAAGAAACACGAGCATGAACTGAGGAATAATGGACTTATACCTCATATTATGGAAAAATAATCATGGAATTTTGTCATGAAAAGAAAGAGGACAAGACTACGAGCGTCTGGGATCATACGACGACTGATTCGGAGTCCGGAGGAGGGAGAAACGAAGCATTAAACAGAGGCTGAGCAAGCCACACGGGCACGCCTAAAAACCCACACGGCCGTGTGACCTGGCCATGTGGCCGTGTGGAAATAACCGAGCCCTCACACGGGCATCTGGGAAAGTCACACGGCCGTGTGGCCTGGTCGTGTGATCGGGAATTTCTGGTTAATACCAGTTTTTCAGCAAAAGGAAAGGGGAGAGCTGGGTTTGTGGTTCCCAAACACCCAAGGGACAAACCCTAGAGAGAGAGCGACTTGGGAACATTCTTGGAGCTATTTTGGAGGATTTCTTCACCATTGGAGCTCGGGAATCAAGCTTGGAGATGGAGATTGAAGATCTAGATCAGATTTCTGCAGTCTCTCTCTTCTCTATGGAGTAACTTCCCTTCACTTAGGTTTTGAGGAACCCTAGTTCCATGTGTTAGGATCTTTCTTGTATGAAGTTTTGGATGCTACATTGTTTGATAATAATCGATTGAGGCATGATTTATTGAGTCAATTGAATCTTGATCAAATTCTCTTGATTTCTGCTTTAACCTATGACAGATATAATCTGATTTGGTTAAGAGAGCTTCGTTGATTGATAGTGGTGAATTGGTTGTGCGAGAGTCAACCAATTCACTGCTTTGTACTGGAATTCATTCCAGTAGTGGAGATCTGTGTGAATTGCCTTAGCAGTCTATCCCGGTGAAGGCTAGTCGCCTGCCGGATATTCTGTCTAAGAGGGCTTGGTCAACTTAAGAGATTCCAAGCTAATTTAGGATCTTCCGCAGTTTAATCAACAGTAGACCAACCAAAAGTAATTGCAACTTGGACCTAATTGAGGAGCTAGGGGGAATCATACCTAAGTGAGTTCCCAACTTGTAATTAGTAGAGTAGTTTATAAATCAATCCTTAATCTAGTTTGCTAGATAATGAACTGAAGTTGAGTAATAGTAACTCTAGAGACCAGTGGATTCGATATTTATTACTTGTCCCACTATACTGCAGTCCCTTTCATTGGTTACACTTGGCCATTGTTAGGTGTTGTGTTTTAGTGTGTCAAGTTTTTGGCGCCGTTGTCGGGGACTTTCTAGATTATTAGGAAAGGCAGAAGTTTGTTACTTTATCGTTTTTTTTTCCACCCTTGCTTTTCACTTGGGTGTTTTTTTGTTTTGTTGGTGCAGATCTGAATCGTGGATCCTAAAGGCTTCTCCAACCATTGGGGGTATCCACCACCATCCGAGTGGTATTACCCCGAGCATCCCTGGAGTAACCAAGGAGGAGAAGACTATGGAGTCGGGTTTTAGTACCAACCCCCTACTACGAAGAACAATCAGCCCCCTCGGTATTTCAAGAACAATCTCCTTATCAAGAAGAATTCCTCCCACAACAAGAAGGACCATCAGATCTTGGGTTCGCCACAGCCTTCACGGGCGATCCGGCAGAGCCATGCTACACTCCACAGCCAGATCCAAACTATCACTTGAAGCTTCTCGTGGAGCAGATTGCTCTAGTACTTGAGAGATCCTTTCCCGAGATGGATCCTCATATCCATGCCATTGCCCATACTGACTTCTCATTTCCGCGTGAAAAAGAGGATACCCTTCGGAGCATAAAGGAGCACATAGAGGTCATTGAGAAAGCCTGTTCACAGTTTTCTCAAGACAACGTTTATGCTGCCATACAAGTAGAGGTGGAGGAAGAAGAAGGCAATCATGAGGATGTTGAGGAGCATACAGAAGTTGTCAAGGAAAGCTCCCATGATAATCATGATCAAGTGTATCCTCTAGTGGTAGATCACAACTTTCCCCATTTCCGCTCTGACATGCTGGGCCCGAGCGAGGAGATGCAAGCTGAACTTATTGAGAACCTTGCATGGCGACTTGCTCTCCAATCAGTTATGGAAGAAGAAGAAGAGAGAGAAAGGGTGAGGAAAGAAGTTGTGGAGGATGAGGAAGAAAGCAAAGAAGAGGTAGTTCTTGATCTTTTCCGAGGAGAGAGACCACATTTTGAAGAAGGAAGGGGGGTTGAAGAAGCGAGTGGTGTCCAGGCTGAGGATGAAGTTGAGGTGGACGAGGCTTGCACCGGCCCTATAATACAAGTAATATCCCCACCAAACTTCGAGGAACTACTTAACAAGGACCCATTTGCAGTGTCTCTATGCCAGACCAAGGCCACATCGACATCGGTCCCTCTTAGTGGACGCGATGGTGGCCAATCGATGCTGTCATATCTGGTTTGGGGCAATGGGACGAGAGAAGAGAAGAAGAGGTCTCGAGGATGGAGACTTCATCTGCATCAAGTGCACGAGCATCCATCACCAGTCATACCACATGCTCGTGACTTGCGACTCCACCTCATTGACGAGAACCTCTATTTCAAGGAGGTTCTAGCATTGACCGAAACTTAGGAGCCATCGTCCGGGTCACGACGTGAAAGAAGCGCTTATTGGGAGGCAACCCAACCAGTCGGTTTGAATTTCTTTCTCTATTTCTCCTCGGTTGAGTCAGTTTTGTTATTTGATTTTAGAGTCAATAACTCAACCTTTGTGAGATTTTGTGTGGTGTTTGTGTTCTGATTACTCTCTCTTCCTGGAATGCACCGCCTGCCCCATCCATCATCATTCACTCTTGATCTGGTAACTTCATTCTACCCTCCTTATCTTTCCTCCATTGAGGACTATGTCGTGCTTAAGTGTGGGGGATGTTCGATTATGTATGCGGGTGAATGTTTGGTTGTTTGTGTGCTTGGAGCCTAATCCACTGTACAAATTTTATTTTAAATTTGAGGGCTCCAAGTACGTGTTTCCTTGCAAATTGCCTGCTCAGTATGCTTTGAATTGACAGTCTCTATAGTAATGTGCAACCTAGGGAGGTAGTGTAGCACTATGGAGGATGTTGAAGTATAAGATTTTTCCTATCT